GCTGAGGCAGCGTCCCACATACCACAACTAGAAGAACCCACAGCGAGAAATATACAACTATGTACTGGGGGGCTTTGGGGAGAAAAAGGAAAAAATAAAATCTTTAAAAAAAAAAAAAAAAAACTAAAAATAGAACTACCATACGATCCAGCCATCCCACTACTGGGTATTTATCCAAAGAGCCTGAAGTCAGCAATCCCAAAAGTCCTGTGCACCCCAGTGTTCATTGCAGCACTGTTTACAATAGCCAAGACGTGGAAGCAACCTAAGTGCCCATCCACAGACGAACGGATAAAGAAGATGTGGTACATATATACAATGGAATACTACTCAGCTGCAAAACAGAACAAAATCATTCCATTTGCAATAACATGGATGGACCTTGAGAGAATTATGTTAAGTGAAATAAGCCAGCGAGAGAAAGATAATCTGTGTATGACTCCACTCACATGAGGAATTTAAAACTACGGACCAACAACAGTTTAGTGGATACCAGGGGAAAGGTGGGGTGGGGGGTGGGCACAAAGGGTGAAGTGGTGCACCTACAACATGACTGACAAACATTAATGTACAATTGAAATTTCACAAGATTGTAACCTATCAATAACTCAATTAAAAAATAATAATAATTAAAAAAAAATCTACCTAGGTCTATAGCCTCTATGCCTGGGAAAGGCACCCAAGGTTTAATTCCTGGGCAATGCCATGTACACTGATCCTGGATCAGGACCCTAATGCAGACCCTACAGGTACCAGTTCCTGCCTCTTAGTCTAGAAGATGGAGCATCTGCTTGAGCACTGGGGCTTTAGAAAGCTAACATAATAGGCTATAGGAGTTCCTGTTGTTAATGCTTGTCTCTTTAATAAACTCTGTAGAGCGGGAAAAAAAATGTAAAGTAGTGGTAAACAGTATGAAAGTTCCTCAAAAAATTAAACCAAATTACCATACGATCCAGTAATTCTACCTCTAGGTATATAAGCAAGACAACTGAAAGCAGGGATTTGAACAGACATTTGTACACCAATGATGATAGCAGCATTATTTACAATAGCCAAATGTTGAAACAAATCAAATTTCCATTGATGGATGCATGGATAAACAACATATAGTATAAACATGCAATGGAATATTATTCAGCCTTAAAAAAGAATGAAACTTTGATACAGGCAACAACATGGAAGAATGCGAAAACATTATGCCAGGTGAAATAAGCCAGACTCAAAGGGACAAATATTGTATGATTCTACCTGTATGAGGTATCTAGAATATTTAAATTCATAAAGACAGACAGTAGAATAGTGATTACCAGGGACTGTGAAGAGGTGTCCTTGGGGAGTTATAGTTTATAGTTTACAGAGTCTCACTTTGGGATGATGAAAATTTTCTAGAAATGGATAGTGATGATGGTTGCACAATAATGTGAATGTACTCATCTCCCTGAACTGTACACTTAACAACAGTTAAAGTGGTAAATTTTATGTTATGCGTATTTTACCACAAAAAATAGTATGTATTTCATATTCAGTGCTTTAGACACTTGGAAAAGAGGTAAAATCACTAAACTCATGTTATGACTACAGTATATACTGTTATCCATATGAGCCAAGGGCACCCTAAAAAATAGTATATTCAATTCTTTAGTAAATGAGGAATATACTGTCTGAGCAAACTGAATTATTTTCCTTGGTTGACAGCGTAAAGGGAAGTAGAAAATTTATTTAATACAATAAAGAGATTAAATGTGAATAAAACACAAGTTAAGTCAAATCAATCTAGACAGAAATTTTTTGAAACAATTTGAAATACATTAATTAATAATAAAAAATTCTTAAATAAGAAATAAAGGGGCAACCTTAAGGAACACAGTTTTCAATGTTGTACACATTTGAAAATTAAAATTGATTATGACTGAGTTTCTATTTAGCAAAGTCACTCCCAAGCCTCTACTTCATTTCCATCAATAGTGTGATATACTGATTTATGTATATCTTCAGGGTTTTATTCTTTTATATAACCACACAAATTGTTCATGTTTTAGCAACTTGAAACCAGTTTCTCTTTTCCATTCTGGAAGATGAAGCAAATAAATACTACCCTACGCACATTGAGACATCTTTTCATATAGTAATCTTCTACATTTTTTACTCAAGGAAAAAAGTATAAAACTAAAGAGTTGGAGTGTTCATAATTATCATCATTTCTGTTTTCAGTGGTGATGTCACATTCCTCACGTGTTCCCTTGTGGTTAGCCATAGTGAAGATGCTAGACATTGAGAATTATGGCAGCTGTCTGGGATTTCTTGTTTCCATCATATCCCTTTATGACTACTTCAGTTGCTCCCTCAGAATCATGCATTGATATTTCCTACTCTCATCTTCCTGAAATATTCTTTTTTTGAGGAAGATTAGCCCTGAGCCAATATCTGACCCCCATCCTCCTTCTTTTTGCTAAGGAAGATTGGCCCTGAGCTAACATCTGTGCCCATCTTCCTCTATTTTATATGTGGGACACCTGCCACAGCTTGGCTTGATGAGTGGTGCATAAGTCCGTACCCGGGGTCCGAACCAGCAAACCCTGGGCTGTCAAAGTTGAGTGCACAAACTTAACCACTAAGCCACTGGGCCAGCCCCCTGAAATATTTTAATGAGGATCTGTGCTTATTTATTTTGACAAAACATTTTTAAATCAGGTTTTATGCTTATAATTTCCACTTGAATTTCAACATCAAGATTTTTAAATACAGATCTTAGAAAATTCTTGTTAGATTCCTTTTAGGATTAACTATGTACAAGTAGTTGGTAATTTGTACAATTATTTGTTTATACTTAGTCACTAATCTCTGAGAATTGAAACAATTATGTATAGGATCCAATAACTCTTGCTATTTCTATGTCGACAAAAGGAATTTTGAAATGCCTTATGATAATGTGTTTATCCTAATCCCAAGGAATATTTATATATAAAGTATTTAAAAAACATTGGCACTCTAATTTGCAGAATACATAAAAATTCTTAGAGCACTAATACACGTGTAGCTTGATCATCTTTTTCTAATAGAAATATATGATTTATATGAAGCCAAAGTTTTGTGACCACTTCTCAAAATCTCTACCCAGCCCCTCTACCTCCCTACCTTGGAAGAGCAACATCTCCAACATCATTATGTATTGCTTTTTTTTTCTTTTGCTGAGGAAGATTCTCCCTGAGCTAACATCTGTGCCAATATTCCTTTATTTCATATGTGGGTCACTGTCACAGCATGGCGCCCAGGATCTGAACTCACAAACCCGGGCCACTGAAGTGGAGCATGCCAAACTTAACCATTAGGCCATGGGGCTGGTCCTCTGAATTGCTTTTTTAATGTTGAACAGTAGCATGTTTTAAAGCTGCTGAAGTAGATGACTATTTGATGAAGCATCACCTTGGTTATGAATACTTTAGCACAGTGGTGACTGCCAGATATCCCTGTTCACTAATGGCAGTGAATAAAGATGGCATGCACCCTTTTTTTCCCTTAGCTCTTTCCAATAATCCTTGAACTGTGGGATAGTTGGAGTTCCATAAACCATCTCGAAAGCATAAGAAAGAGTATCACTGTAGAGGACCTATTGCTGAAAACTAGACTGACTCGTGATTGTTGATGCCTTGGTGGAAGCCCACATTTCTCTGGATGGGCAATCTCCTCAATTTGTTCACATGGTGAGGAAAAATAAACCATAAACTGTTTAGGCCATACTTGGTGGTTCTTGTTTCTTGTGCAATTCCTAACTCATACAGACTAGATGTTAGATTGTTTAGAAATAACAGAGAGCTAAAAATTAAAGAGTTTAGGAAATAATTTGGGAAATATTTTGCAAAGTAAATTTCAGGAAAGCAAAATTATAAAAGTTTTAAAATGACTGAATTTTTATTTGAGAATGCTGACAATTTTTCTTTTCAATCCCTTTTTACTTCTCAATTTTCTAACTGAGTGTTAGTAAAATTAGGCTGAATTAGGACTTCAATATGTAAGGCAAATGTCTCCATAATTATCAGATAAAAATAATATATTTTAAATATGTATACATTTATAATGATATACAATTAAGATGTAAAAAATTGTGAGATTTCATTTATACCTGGTTACAACCAAAACATGGAATTTTTACTCCTCTTTCACAAAATGACATCTTCTGCTTTCAAGTCAGTTATAGTTTACCTTTCCCTCAGTTCTTCAATAAGTGATTTAAATAAGTGATTTATTTCTTATTAGACCAAAGATGTTTTATAATTTAAAATTTGGACATGAGAATAATTTGAGCTTGAACTTTGTTGTGAATTTATGTATGTATACATAAGTAGTATATATTTCACAGAGGAAAAAATCTAAGACAGAAAATGTTGATACATATTCATATGTACTACATGGAATGATAAAAGAGTAATATCAGATAAGAGGATGGATTATTTTTGGAAAAATTTGCAGTTAATATGGCTAGATAAGTATTCGATATTTGCGTATATATGTATATAAATAAAGAGTTCTTGTAAGGCTCATGAAAATGGAAAAAGTAGTTACATCTCAGATATGTGTCCTTGATTGATTTTTGCTTTACACTGTGCGTTCTTTATTATTTTGATTGCTAAAATGGGCATATATTATTTTCACAGCTATTCTAAAGTAATTATATTGAAAGATAATTCATGACATTAAAAGTACTATCTGTGTAATACAAGATAATTTAGTAAAATACAGTGAATTAACAGTATGATTCTCAATTCAGTGAATATACATAATTTCCACAAAAATGTCCTAAATAGCCAATGAAATATTCATAGTGATATCATCTATGCATGAACGTAGATTACATTTTTTTCTCCTTAAACTTTTTCTTATTTTCAAAATGTTCTACTTTTGAAATCAAATGTGCACTTAAATTATAAGGAAAAACCAAATATGCGTTTTAAAAATAGAATATAAAATGTTAGGAAGTTATTTGGGAATAAAAGACTACATACCTTATTTTTGCCACAAGTAGTTCCATCTTTTACCCACATCTTTGGGCTCTCTTGATAATCGTGTGGAAACTCCAATGCGATGCAGATGTCTCCCTGTACATTGGTGTAAATAGTACTGGCATTTGGAACACTAACTAGAAATTCTTTGTGATACTTACATATTAATTTTCCGCATTGAAGATCCCTATAATTTACCAATAAATGAAAATCATTAGTTTTCAATACAGAGAATATCATTTCTAAAGCAAAAATATTTAAAGCATTGAAAGTTTGCAAAAGGATTTATGTAATTAATTGTGAAACACCAAAAAAAAGGGCCTTGCCTGCAATGTTAATAATAACTAAACATTTTAATACTTATGAACTACTTGCTAGCTAGCCTGATCACTTTTTTGTAAATATTTCTTCATTCTTCTCTTGATTCTTTGTTTTGTTTTTTGAGGAAGATCAGCCCTGAGCCAACATCTGCTGCCAATTCTCCTCCCTTTGCTGAGGAAGACTTGTCCTGATCTAACATCTGTGCCCATCTTCCTCTACTTTATATCTGGGATGCCTACCACAGCATGGCTTGACAAGGGGTGCCACGTCAGCACCTGGATCCGAACCAGCAGATCCCAGGCCTCAGAAGCAGAAGGCATGCACCCAACCGCTACGCCATCGGGCTGGCCCCTGATTCTTAAACATAATCAATTTCAAGCTTATTCTATCCTAAAAATTTAATAAAGTGTATCTAATTACCAGTCTTATTGGATTTCCTTTTCAGTTTTTCAAACATAATGCCTACTTTCATCATTATGGGTCCCAAACTGACAGGACAATGAGACCCATACTCAAGCATTATATGCAACAAATATTAAAATAAAATCACTAAGATACATCATAATGATACTGCTGTAAACCACAGAAAAAAAAATCATGAAATTAACCAGAAAGTGAAAAAGGATTAACAACAAAGATCAATAATACAACCTAAGATTCACTTTCCAACAGAAACAATGGAAACCAAAAGATTACTGAATGACAGATTCAAAGGTAAATCAAACTAACTACTGCCTTTCCATTCTCTCTGCAGAGAAAATGTCTTTTGAAATGAACTATGGTGTTTTCAGACAATAATTAGGAAAACTTGTCACCAGCAGTCCTGGACTAAAGAAAATGTAAACTGAGTTCTTCCCATTGAAAGGAATTTATCTTAGATGTAAACTTGTAGAAGTACAAAATACATATAGCTATCAGATTGAAGAAGTTGTTTGTATTCCTAGTTAGATGAGAGTGTTTATCTTGGGTCACTGCTAGATTTTGTGATAAATCAGACACAAAATAAATAAAATGGCATAGATAAATCTGAATGAGGAGGCTATGAGAGAGAGAAGATACAATTAAATCATCTTCCCCCAAAACAAGTATAAAACTGAGCAAATTTGTCAAAACAACCATTCCGGCGCTAGGAAAACTGATCAAAAGTAAACAATAAATTGAAAAGCATTTATGAACAGATGCTATAAAATCAAATAAGAATAATGAGAGGCTGTAGTCTTTTTGCCTGAGTCTGTTCCCTTGCCCTCTCCCAGGTCAGCTGGGGCTGTCTTTTTACTAGGGCAGGGCTGGCCATGAAAACCAATAAATTCAATGCCAGAAGGGTCATTCTTTTTTTTTTTTTTGCTAGGGAAGATTTTCCCTGAGCTAACATCTGTTGGAAATTTTCCTTTTCTTTTTTTTTTGTTTTTTTTTTTTATATGGGCCACCTCCACAGCATGGCCACTGACAGATGAGTGGTGTGGTTCTGTGCCTGGGAACTGAACCTGGTACAGTGAAATGGAGCGTACTGAACTTTAACCACTAGGCCACTGGGACTGGCCACAGAGGGGTCACTTGTGATTTGGTGCAGAGAGAAAAAAAAAAAAAAAAACATCCAGCATCACTTTGAATAAAAGTAGCAAAGTTGGTAGGGAATGAATCTAAAACCAGTAGCACTGTTAGCCTAAGGGTGAGGTCCCATTTGTGGTTAGTGACAGACCAGTCAGAAATTAAAGGCATGATCCTGGAAATGACAGCTCCATAAAGGGTGGTGATGAGCTCTTTTTACACCACATCCTTGGCTGACTGGAAGGCTACATGCATGTGCCAGGATACTTGAGAAAGACTGATGGGAGGCAACACTGGAGGAAACTTTAAATTTGCCTAAATCTAAATGTGTTTTCCAATTCATAAACAGAGCTATCACAAAGAAAAACCAAAGGCCAAATGACTTCGACGGTGAATTCCATGAAATATATAAAGAAAATATAATACTAATTCTACACAAGCTTTTATAGAAAATGATAAGGATAAAACACTGTCCAACTCATTCTATGAGGCAAATATTACCCTGATATCAAAGCCAAGCAAAGATATCACAATATAATGAACATAGGCAAAAAACATCCTTGACAAAAAATCAGCAAATCAAATCTAGAACTATATAAAAGTAATTTATACACCATGACTAAGTGGGATTTACTCAGGAATGCAAGACTGGGTTCATATCTAAGAGCCATTTCACAGAATATAGGGGGGAAATACATAATCATCTCAAAGAATGCAGAATAAGCATTTCATAAAATTCAGCACTGATTCATGATGAACATTCTCATCTAAATAGGAATAGAAAGGAACTTCCTCAAACTGAGAGAGCTATATGTGTAATCTACTAGTAGCACTATGATTACTGTTGAAAGATTGAATGCTATCAGCCTTCAATCAGGAACATGACAAACATTTCTGATTTCATAACTTTTATGCAATGAGGCAAAGATTTCCTAGATACTATATGGATCTGTACCATGATCTGTAAAAAATACATGAACTGGGCTTCATCAAAATTAAAACCTTTTGCCCTTCAAAAGATGTCATAAGAAAGAAAGACAAAAGATAGCCTGAGAGAAAATATTTACAATTCATATATCTTATAAAGATTATATTCTGAATATGTCAACTACTTTTACAATTCAATAATATCAACAAAACCCAATTTAAAACTGGGCTATGGATTTGTCAAGACATTTCACCAAAGACAACATGCAAATAACTAATACTCACATAAAAGAGTGGTCATTTCATAAATCAATAGGTAAATGCAAATTAAAACCAGAATGAGATGCTTCAGAATGGCAAAAAGCAAAAATCAAGAAAACCAAAAGTCCTGACAATACCAAATGTTGCTGAGGATGTAGAGAAGCTAGAACTCCCATACGCTGTTGATAGAAATGTACAATGTCACAGTCACTCTGGAAAATATTTGGATATGTTTAAAGTGTTAAACATACACTTTCCATATGACCCAGCAATTCCACTGCTAAGTGTACATCCAAGTGAAATGAAAAAAAATGTATGTCAACACAAAGACTTATACCTTTATCACTTGTTATATCCCACGAGAAACAAATATATGGCTTTACAAAACAAAATATGCACAAGAATGTTCACAGCAGCATTATTCTTAATAGCCCCAAACCAGAAGCATTCTAAATGCCTATCAACTGGTGAATGATAAACAAAATGTTATATCCATACCATATAATATTATTCAGCAATAAAAAGTTATGAACTCCTGATATATGCTACAAAATGGATGACTCAAAAACATTATAACTAAAAGAACCAGACAAAAAGACTACATATTGTATGATTTTTCTTATACAAAATTTCCAGAAAAGGCAAATGCATGAAGATAAAAAACAAGTCCCTGGTTGCTTGTGGCTGGGATCAGAAGTCAGGATTGATTCCAAATTGGCACAAAGGGAAATTTAAAGGGATTCTGAATTCTGGAGTTTGCACTTCTATAAATATATCACAAAATGAATAAAATATCCCTAAAATGAATAAAATATCCCTTTAAAACATAGTAATTACTTTTTAGCTAAGTGATTTTTATCTTAAAGTTCTTTAAAATTTTGTACAACAGCTACAAAAAGAGTTTGGAAGTCATGTCTCCTGTTATTACAAGAAAAAGCTGAACAAACTGAAATCGGTGACTTTTCTTCTACCCATCAGAGAACTGAGGTTATAGAGAAAACCACCTACATAAATCTGGAAAGCTAAGTACATGGAGAAAAAATAATTGCAGTACCTGCAATTTGTGTACCTGGAGCAGAAATTGCTGAACTACATAAGCCTGTAGGAATATATATACTGATTTTGACAAATTGCTGGAGACCCAGTGGGGACTAATGTGAGAATGAGAAGCTCCCAGGGAGCCCAGTCATAAGGCACCACCATATTTTTACATGCCTTTTCTCCAGGAACTCTCCATATAGACCTTGCAGGGAAAAGAAAAGAGTAACCATTGTAAAACCTTCCCAGACCCTTCTTCATCACAAAGGCTTAATCTGCAGGTGGAAGGACTTTATCAGAGGGCAATTTTGAAACATTATCCCTAGCTGGGGAAAGGGAATTCCATTCCACTCTAGCCAACTCCACTCTTCCTGTCTTACCTAAGAAAAAATAATAAATAAAGTCATAATCAATAATACTGAAATTTCTAAGAAAATAGTTGGGAATGCTGTAGCTGTGGCAGGGACTAGAGGATGTGACCATGGAAGAGGAAGCTATATATCTAAGAGTGACAGAAACACTTCTGAAAGCCACACCCTTGAGATACAGGCACATTTAAAGACTGAGGCTTATATGAAAACAAGAGAAGGTCCCCTGCCCACACCCTACCACTATACTAACAAGTCTCCTGTAACAATAAAAGTGGATTACATCTGGAAAAACTGCAAGACACATACTCCCTCTGAGGGGCAGAACGAAAGGAAGCCTCAATTCTAAGAGAGGAGGAAGAAACTACCCTACTAGAGAAATCTGAAGATTCTGGTACTTATAACTACAACAAACATTAGACACAGCCCCTAAAAAGATTAACATAAATCCTCACAGTTAAGGCGTATTTACCTCAGTGCCTATTACCCAAATTAACATGCTCAACTTTCAACAAAAAAAAGTACAAGACTTGTGAAAAGGCAAGAAAAAAACACAGTCTAAAGAGACAAAGCAAGCATCAGAACCAAATCAAATATAAAACAGACGTTGAGATTGTTAGATACGAAATTTAAAATAACTATGATTAATATCTTAAAAGCTCTAAAGGCAAAAGTTGACAACATGAAAGACCAGAGAGAAAATATCATCAAAGATATGGACACT